AGTCCAGAGTTGGACAGGCAATTGCTGGGTTTGTTTTTTGTTTTCTTTAACATTAGTGGCTCCATTTAGATTCTGACAACTTTTACACTATTATTTTTAAGAAATCAAAAATGGTTGTTAAATTTTAGAGTACTTTTTTATTTTTTAATTTTAACTGTGATAAGTTATATTAATGGACTCCTTAATCCTTAGTAATTTTTCCTTTATTGTAATTCTCCCCTTTACTTCACTGAGGCGAGCAATATATATACATTCTGAGATGCTGATATACAGTCCTCTTTTATATATATATAGGAGGTGTCAAAAATATATATACATTATAAAAGATGTTATCTATGTATTACTTTTTGAAGTTGAATTAAATTATGGTAACAATGTGCAGTATGACATTCACTCAACCATGCTTCTGCCATTTTCTTTTTCCTGACTGTCACATGGTAGCGCAAGTATTCATTTGATTAAAGCCATCTTTTGAGTGAACATCATACTTAAAATGTGCATACAATTTTTGGCATACATACAGTTAAATTTTACTTGTTTTATTTGGTGTTTATACTTTCACAATCATATTTGTAAGTAAAATTCATCTTCAGCTTTTTTTTTTTGCAGCTATCTTTATCTGACTTTGTTACGGTCAAAATTCTGAGATGCTGATATACAGTCCTCTTTTATCTTGTCTTTCCAAGACTGTTGCCATTTCATTTATTTTCATAAGTAATTCATTGGGGAACCGAGTGAAGTTTCATCATACACATTTAGTTAGCTTGAGAATCTTATTAACTATATTTGAGGCAAGTGGAAATGACTTCTGGTACTTAACCAAGAAAGAGTATCTAGAAAACAGCATCTTTAAAATTATAAGAGATATAAAACAAACATAGAAAGAATTAATTCCCCTTGGTCCCCTTTATAAAGGCAGTTTTCAACTCTTAGAGACATCAACGATATTTATTTGGGTTAATAGATGTTTTTTCCTTTTTTTTTTTTTGAGTTGGAGTCTCACTCTGTCACCCAGACTGGAGTGCAGTGGCCACACCCGGCCACCGCAGCCTCGATCTGCTGGGCTCAGGCGATCCTTCCGCCTCAGCCTTCCGAGTAGCTGGAACTACAGGCGCACGCTACCACGCCCGGCTGATTTTTTGATTTATTGTAGAGATGAGGTCTCGCCTGCCCAGGCGGGTCTCGAACCCACGGGCTCAGGCAATCCACTCATCTCAGCCTCCCAAAGGCACGGGATTACAGGCTGAGCCACCGAGCCCGGCAATAGATGTTTTTTTCAACTCAAGTTTTCCGAAATGAAAGAACAAAAAGGAAAGAATAGAAATGAAAGGAAGGAAGGAAGGAAGGAAGGAAGGAAGGAAGGAAGGAAGGAAGGAAGGAAGGAAGGAAGGAAGGAAACAAGGAAGACCACCTTTTTTCTCATATTGAGGGCCACTATGTACATTTTTGTGCAGACTGTACATTGCACAAATCTAGGAACATTATTATATCGGTTTTGAATTGATTAGACACTTTCTTTTGTTTTCTCTTTTTGGATATGTGATTAAAATCTATATTGGGGTCAGCATTTTTTATTTTTTTTAAGGTCACACAGTAAGTATCTTAGGCATGTGAGTCATGTAGTCTCTATCAAAACTACTCAACTTTGCTATTGTGGTGTGAAAACAGTCATATACACACAAGTGAAGAGTTGTGGTTATTTTTCAATGAAACTTGATTTACGAAGCAGATAACAGGGCTGAAAGCTGGAGTTTGCCTATCCCTCTTTATGCCTATATACTACTAAAGAAATCTAATGCTGTCATGAGGATTTTAAGGTAGTTTATGGTCAGGGCTGAAACTTCTAACTTATATCTGATTTTCCTCTTATCTCTGTCAGTCTCCTGTTCTGTTTCATTTTCTTCTAACAGCATTTTGTACATACTGCAATTCTTTACCCCTCGGCCTTTGATCCTTTTATTTTCTCAGTTTTAAATTATCTCCACAGGCAATGACTCCAATATTTTTAACTTCTGTGCATTCCTCTGCTCTGAACCCAACTGCCAACTTCACATTTCTCAAAGACACATCAAATTCATCACAGTTCAACTGAATTTATAGTCTCCCCTTCCAAATCTACTTTTCTGTTGGTTTTCCCAGTTTCAGTGAATGATATCATCATCTCTTTAAGATGATAAACCAAATTATACTTCACACAGAGGATCTCTATTTCTTGTTGATTCGATCTCTTTTTGACTTTTAATCTGTCCACTTCTTTTCTCTGCTAATATAAAAGGTTCTACTATCTCTTATGTGGATTTTGCAAAAGAGAGACATTCTTGGCTTTTTCCATTTTGTGGTTCAATTGATATTTACAAAACAATAATCTGATCATACAACGAGCTTCACCTCCTCAAAGACATTCCTTTGTTCAAAGGATAAAAACACAAATCCTCTCATATATTCTTTCTTTTATACACATATTCTTTCTCTCATATAAATATGAGATAAATATATATTCATACAAATGAATATATATTCATATAAATATATATTCATATAAATGAATATATATTCATATAAATATATATATTCATATAAATGAAAACTCCATTCTTAACACTACATCCCATGCCAAATCTTAGTGCTCATAAGGCTGTGTGTTTTGCCACCTGCCTCCCTCTCCACCATCTTGTACTTTCCACCTGACTCTTTATGCTACAGCCATGCTGGTCTAACTCATTTCTTCTAATAAATATGAGTTGCTTCCTCCCAACTCATGCTTCTCTCTGGAATGACTTTTCCTCATCTTTACCCAAGAAAGTACTATTCATTCTTTTTTTTTTTTTGCGTTAGAGTCTCACTCAGTCACCCAGACTGGAGTGCAGTGGCCCCTCCCAGTCACCGCAGTCTCGCCCCTGCTGGGCTCCGGTGATCCTTCTGCCTCATCCTTTCGAGTAGCTGGAACTACAAGCGCATGCTACCACGCCTGGCTGATTTTTGATTTATTGTAGAGATGAGGTCTCGTCAAGTTGCCCAGGCGGGTCTCGAACCCATGGGCTCAGGCAATCCACTCACCTCAGCCTCCCAAGGCGCAGGATTACAGGCTGAGCCACCAAGCCCGGCTAGTACTATTCATTTTTCCGGTCACATCTCAAATGCTTTTCTTCATGGATGCCTTTCCTAACTCCCCAGTGAGGACAGTTACTCTGTAATAGCTCCTCTTAGAACTGAGTTCCTATACTTTATAGTATTTATCTCAGTTTATAAATATCCATTTATGCTTGTGATTATTTAATTGATGTCTTCTACTATCTCCAGATTGAAAACCACTCTTACCACTTTATCTCAAATGCCAATTCTTAATAAATATTTGTTGATTGAATAAAAGAATGAATGGTCACCTATTCAAGTCCAAATACTTGCACTACAATGAGCAAACCGGTTTTGAATCTTGTCTAGGGAAAAGAGACAACTTTTAGAGGTATTGGCTATAGAAAGGCTATAGTCCTCTCTTATCATTCTCAAAAATGTGTGTTTCAACATCTCTTTTCTGTTTTTAACTTCTTTTCTTTTCTGATTGGGCCAGCAGCTCAAATATATAAAACAACTCATTATATAATTATAATTGATTTATATTCTATTTACCAGCCCCGCTAATCATGATTAGCATGCTAATTTTCAGGTGTTGTTAAGTCATTTAGACATTTCAGATGACAGTAACAAGTCTTTTTGTGTAAATCCTAAAATATTGTCTCTGCTGTTGTCCTAGCTCAACTGACACACTTATCTTTACCTCATTTTTGACTTTATTAAGACTCAATTCATTTTCATTCCATTTCACTTCATGAAATGTTATCTACCAGCTGACTACCTTTGGGTAGATGACCTTTTGTCAATTCAACAAAAAAACATTGCATAGAGTTAGTATGCCAGATAGTATACCAGGAAAGGGAAATACAAAGACAAAAGAAATGATCTCTGACTTCTAGGAGCTTACAAACTTTTTAGGGAAGTCAGATATTTAAGAAAATAATACACACAAGAATTCCATTATTTTAACTCAAATAAGTGATAGAATTGGGATGACAGTTTAAGACATATAAATTAGGGAGATAACCAAGAAGAAATTAGCTAGATAAAATTCAACCATATCTAAGCTTCTTTATTTGGAAAGAATTAAACATATTGTGTCAAAGCTTTACTTACCGTTTGGAAAGCTTATATTATAGGTTAAGTATATAAACGATGAAAGACCTATGGTAAAAATAGTTCTTTGACTGTTAGAACTTTCCACTTGCTTCTATCCGAATGAATTATACAAAGGACACCTGTAAACGTTTGTGTCAACTGACAATAAAAAACAACCAAGTGGTTTGAAAGACAATATTGTATTGCAAATCTTAGATACACATTATACCATATTACATCTGACATCATTAACTAAAAGAATGACTTCACTGCCAACAAATAATAAATTGTAAGAAAGTAGGTGTGACATGGTCTTTCCTTTTCACAGTTAACTTTTCATAGAAACTCTATAATTGAATAATATTTATGAAATTGTGATGTAAGTTTTTGTATTGTTGATGTAACAGCATTTCTGTCATGTTGGTACATTTTGGCTCATCAGATGTAGAGTTTGGTTTCTTCATATGGTCTTTTATTATAGAAACAGCCTCATAAATGTGATTGTGTGTGTGTGGCAATGTAATAATTATAAGAACAGCAAGCTGTTTAGAAAGAGAATGTCTGAGATTCAATAAAAGAGTTTTCTCTTTTGAAAACAAAATGTGCTGTTTTAACAGCTCTGGAAAAACAGTATTATTTTTGACTATATGAAACCAGAAAGGCACTACAAACTATATGACAGCAAATATTAATTCTGCATAGTTTATGGTGTCTATGATAAATGCTGCTTTCTAAAACATACCACTTTTGGCACAGCAGAGCAATAATGATGGAAAAGTAAATGTACATTATGAGAAAAAACAAGTAGAAAAGTATAAAGATAAACTTACTGGTTCTCCTGCAAGTCCCCTGTCTCCTGTACTTCCAGGTAGTCCCTGTAAACCCTGTACAAATAAAGGCAAAACTTGTAGAAAAAATGGTGTTTGAAAATGTTTTACTCCGTTTCCTTACCTTAGCTTTCCTTCTGGATCCTTCCACCTGATTTATCTGCCTATCTCTATTCTTTTGTGGTTAAATATGTTTAACATAAAAGTGACCATTTTAAGTGTATAGTTATGTGGCATTCAGTATATTTACAAAGTTGTGCAACTGTTACTACTATCCTTCTTCAGAAATTTTTCATCTTCCCAAACTGAAACTCTGTACTCATTAAATACTAACTCCCCATCAACCCCTTTCCCTCTGGTGACCACCATTCTGTTTCCTGTCTCTATGAGTTTGACTACCAAATACCTCATGTAAGTGAGACTATACAATATCTGTCATTTTGTGACTGGCTTATTTCCCTTAGCATAAAATCTTCAACGTTCATCCCTGCTATAGTGTGTCTCAAAACTTCCTTCCTTTGTAAGACTGACTAATATTCCATTGCATACATAGCTCGCATTTTGTTTATATATTCATCTGTCAACGAACACTTGGGTTATTTCCAGCTTTTAGCTATTGTGAATAATGTGGCTGTGAACATGGGTATACAAGTATTTGTCCAAGTTCCTATTTCTTAATTAGCTTGGGTATATACCTAGAAGTCGAACTGATTGATCGTATGGTCGTCTTCTGTTTAACTTCTTGAGGAATCGCCAAACTGCGTTCTTTAGTGGTGTTCCCATTTCATGTTAGTGCCAACTATGCACAGGGGTTCCAACCCCCTTGCTAACACGTATTTTCTTTTTTACCTTTAATAACAGTATGTAAAATGGTATCTCAGTATGGCTTGATTCACATTTTCCTAATGAGCATCATTTTCATGTGCTTATTGGTCGTCTGTGTATCTTTGGAGAAATGTCTAGTCAAGTCCTTTGCTCATTTTTTCATTGGGTTGTTTTTTCATTCTTGAGTTGTAGGAATTCTTTATATCTACATCTATTCTTACTTAATCCTCACTTCTGTAATGTTTCAAATAATTATCCAGAATTATTTTAAATTTGGATTTCTCTTTTTTTTGTTTTTTGAGTTGAGTCTCACTCTGTTGCCCAGACTGGAGTGCAGTGGCACGCTCCCGGCCACCACAGCCTTGATCTGCTGGGCTCTGGTGATTCTTCCACCTCAGCCTTCCATGTGGTCGGAACTACAGGTGCATGCTACCATGCCCAGCTAATTTTTGATTTATTGTAGAGATGAGGTCTCGCCAAGTTGCCCAGGTGGGTCTTGAACCCATGGGCTTAGGCAATCCACTCGCCTTGGCCTCCTAAAGTGCTGGGATTACAGACTGAGTCACCGAGCCCGGCCCGGATTTCTTTACACTTTTATATTAATATAAAATTTTCTTTTTAAAAGCAATTAATTTAATAGTGATTTAAATAGTCCCTGTGCTCATAAATATGACCTATGCTCCTAAAACCTGGCAAGGTACAGGGGTCTCAGAACATAGGTGACCCGAAATAATCATATTGAACCTATAACTTTCTTTTTTTTCATTTTTACACTATGCTACCTATGGTATCATAAAAGAATCTTGAATATGAAGTACATTATAAAGCAGTAGCTAGAACTCTAAACCAAATTCTGAGTCCTGTGTGCCCCTTCCATTCAAATATTTACTAAGTATTTACTGTGTGTCAGACACGATGACAACTGATGACATATAATACACTATCTCATTTGCAAGTCCCATCTTCTACATTATTGACTTCAGGAAGGCTGTTAACTATATAGCAAACTACAATTACCATTGTATCTTAAAAACTAAAAGCTAACAAAAAATGTGACATTAAATCAGAAACGAGGATATTAAGTTCTTAGTAACACACTATTTTCCAAGTTATACGCATCAATGCTATGTTCAGTTTCTCTGCTTCGAGAAAGAGAAATATATAAAATTATGGACTCCTATCTGGCTAAGGCCCTGTTTCAGACATGAAAATCATATGAAGCACTCCAGGCTTCTTAATTAAGAGACAGGATCAATATAAGGGATCCTTCTGTGCCTAGTATACTAACTGAAACATACAGTTAAAGTTCAGAACTTAAAATAAAATCTTCCCAATTTTCTTTGTAAAGTATGTTTAGCATCAAGCATAATGTGTATTTTAATGCTGTTGACAGTGCATAAAAGCTATTTTGCAAGTTATGAAATTTAAATGGGTTCTATTTTTATTGGGGATGAAGTGAAAAAACACAAACTGGAACAAAATTAAAATTCTCTTTTAAGGCTTTTCAGAACTTGCTGTCCCATGACTTCAACTTAGTAATTATGACAATGATGATCATGGGCATAATAATGACTATTTTGGTTGTTATTTACCAAGAGCCTGCTCCAAGCACATAACAAACATCATTTGTTATGACTATGAAAGCTATCCCATTTTACTCCTAGGAATATTGTTTGCTTTGAAATCTACTTTTTCTGATATAACTGGAAGTAAAAAGTACTACCAGAGATAAAGAGGATTTTTTAACAATAAAAAGGATCAGCTGATCAGAAACACATACTAATTATAAATATGAATACACTTAAAAATAGAATTTTTAAATACATAAAACAAGATTTAATAGAATTAAAGGGAGAAATACAAAATCATAGTTGGAGATTTTTTACACCACTATCTCATCAATTGACAGAATACCTAGATTAAATAATCAGTAACATATGACCTGCTATGGTTTTTGTATGATTTTGAAAACCGAACATAGTGACCCAGGCTTTATCATCTCAATAACACAACAAGTCGTGGTCTCTCTTCCGGTTTTTCCTCTTTGTGTAATATCTATGTGTGTGGATAGAAAGCAAATATTGTATAGGATACAGTGCTGGCCCACAAACAAATCTAATTTTACTGGTTATCTGGGCTACCAGGGCACCACGAGATGTGTTCCCAGTTTTCATTTAATGCTTGTCTTTAGAATTATGACAAGTTAGAGATGAAAGGAGTCTTGGAGATCTTATCAGTCTCTTTATTTTACGGAAGAGGAAAACGCGACCCAGAGAGTTAACCAATTTAAACAAGGTTACGCAGTTCTCAGGAGCGTGCACCAGAACAAAGGTCAATCTGACCTCAAATATATGTTTTTATTATACAGCATTGTCTGCTTTCTGACAGTGCTAAATGCCTAGAGACATTACAATTACGCTGAGGCATCAAATGAATCTTGGAGGTTTGTTTCCCTTTTTTGATTCGTTGTTCCTAGCTTCCCTGAGATCACAGATCAATCAAGGAGAAGGAGACAATATTTGTATAGAGCTAAGTAAACCACAATAACTATTATAAACTCATGATTTAGTGTTCAGCCCATGTCAGGGACTAGGCTCACTGAACTCTTCAGTAGTCTATGAGATTTGTTTGACACAAGCTAAGGTTATAAAATGAGTCTAGTATCTTTAATTTGATTGAGGAAGTCAAACATCAAATATCACATTTATCCAAGCATACTTGATGGGCTGGGAATGAAGGTAAAATTCAAAGGAAAGTCAACAATGTACAAAGTGAGTAAGTAATTTACTTCTTTGAGCTTCATTTTTCTAACATGGGAGAAATGAGCTTGTTGAGCTCCAAATGTCTCCACTCATTGCAACATATCAACTTCATTTATGGGGTAGCAAAGTGGTCAGAATCTATTGGAACACTATTTACATTGATATAACATAAATACAGATGATGAATATTAATACTTCAGGAATATTCTTTGGAGATAAGTTTAATAATGCAATGCCACAGACAAGTACTTTCCCTGGACACAGTCATTTATTTTCTTTTTTAGGTCTTTGGTATTTTAAGTTCAGTCACTGTCAGATATAATGCTATTAAGGGGAACAACATGCAAGGGAAGCAGATTTCAAAGAGGAACCAGCAAACAAAGTGACATTAGCAGTAATTACTATAGCAGCTAAAACATTTTTATCTTATCATTCTCTGATTTCTCAGCTGCAATCTATTTATATTACCTGAGTTTATAACTTTACATTTTATATATACATGTATATGACAAATCAAAATTTCTTCATTAAAATTATGATTCAGAATAAAATGTAAAATACACACACATTTAAGCTTATGTGCTCATATACATTTGATATCTTACATGTGTGTATATATCTCTTCTTATTAAAAAAAAAGAAATATTTTTTCCCTTACTTGGTGATAACTACAAAACTTGTTGCCTTTTAGGGAAAAAAATGTATGTATAATTCTGGTAAGATTTTTTTGGCAGTAGGAAAAATCTAGCATTATAAAACATTAAAAACTCTTCGAGCGGCGCCATGGGAAAGTATGAAGACACACACCATACCACTTCACACTCTAAAGGTATGAAAAGTGTGTGTGTTAAAATAAAGTAGGCAGAGGTTTCAAAGAAGTTATTTATTATGCTAGTTTTATTAATGTCTTATTATATTATTAACTTACACCATTTTATTTTGAAATGGGTTTCATTTAAAAACTAATTTATCATAACTAAAGTGAGGTAAAGGTAACAGTTATCACCATTAGTTTATAGATAGGTACAGCCAAGGTTTAGTGAATAAGCAACTTGTTCCAATGAAACAATTACCCAGTGATTAAAAGTGGCTTTCTTAGTCTAACATACTGAATACTAAACAATAGTCTAACAGAGAATGAAACAGATTAAGGTAATCATCTCATAATAAGTATATATTAATATCAAAATAAATACCATATTGTTTTCTGTAAATATATATAATTTATATTTGTCAACCCCCAAAAAACATTGTTTAAACACTCCTCTTGTGAAAAAGCAGAAAAAATTGTTCATAGCCTGATTATTTTTTATTACTTACTGGTTTCCCTTGAATACCTCTCTCGCCAGGGTTTCCAGTCTTACCCTACACGAGAAAGAAAATGTTTGAGTCAAGTAAGCCCCTCCCAAAATATTAACCACACACCAAATAAAACGGAAAAGATTGTAAATGTTAACTTTTAATGTGAAATGTTTTATTACTTACAGTAAGACCATGAGATCCTCTTTTTCCTTGACCTCCTTTTTCACCCTAATAAAGTATCAAGACCAGGTGAATTAGTAAGATTGTGAATTATGGTCTTATACTTTCTAGCATGTACTCATATACAAAAAATAAGATATTAAGTATATAGTTCAATATTGGAAAGAAAATATCTGTGAGTGTGTGTGTGTGTGTGTGTGTGTGTGTGTGTAATAAAAACTTTATGCATGTTTCATACTTAGACTAACAGAATATTTAGACCCATACTTTTATAAGGAAATACATCATTTTTTAGACTAGTAGGACATGTGGGTCCAATAAAATTTAACTGCATATGAAGTGAAAAAATCAGTGATTACCTTGGCACCTTGTATACCTTGTTCCCCTGAGAGACCGTCTGGTCCTCTTGGGCCCTAGAGGTAGAAAAAATATGCTGTTGTTAATTAGAAATGTTCCCTTTTTACTGTTATGTGTCCTTACAGATGAAGACACTGTGTCCTTCTTTAGTTGACAAATTCCTCCTGCTTGTTTTTATGCCCTGGCCACAGAAAAGAATACAGATGGGTATGGCCAAACTTATTTGCATGGGAGAATCAAGCCCATATTTTGATGATTTTAATGCCAAATTGTAAATCAAATGAGTACAAAAATAGGTGATTCAGTTGTTGAAGTGGCTATAATGTAGGTGTGTTATTTGGGTACTTGTTCACTTAATCATTTACTCACAGCTGCCAGCCAGGATGTATTCTTAATACAACTTTAAATTAATTTAGAAGTGGCTGGTTTGATGTCTAAACAATCATCCTAAATTTCATAATTTTCAAGTGGTGCTCTTCTCTTCACATTGTTAGAAAATGAGTGCTGATTGCATTGTTATCTGTTATGCAACTGTTTGATAACTGTTACAGAAAGATGACAGGGGCATAGAAAAGGGAATGAAAATCTACTGAAATATTCATGTAAATTTAAAACTTCTCAATACTCATTCAATAATTAGTTGCAAAGAAGCATTAGCTGCAAAAGTCCTTCTCTATTAAAATGACAGAATAGTCTCCCTGGCTAAATTACAACTTTCCTTGGAAGACCTTAAAGTCCTTTTTAAGAGACTTAATGCAATTCCACAGCCTCTAACTAAATATATGTGGAAAAGGAAATTGCATTAAGTGTTATGGGGAAACCTAATTGTGAGCAAGTTGTTCCATCATGAAGCTTATAGAATGAAAAGGTAAATTACACAAATGACTATAATATATATGCAGAGATGAAGCATGCCAAGCTCCAAAACAAAGATTTAAAAAGGGAGGCAGCCTTCACATGTCTGTAATGGGAATGAAGACATCATTTTGGCAGTTGGAAGTCAAGTTCTTACAGATTTATTCAAAATGGAAGGAACTCTACATGGAGGGATAGTAGGAGACAAGGGTACAGAAACATGAAATAAGATACCCAAAGAACAAAAGAGTAGTTTGTTTGGCCAGGCTATTTATTATTTGGGAGAATTATTAAGAAATAAATGTGGAAAGGAAGAATGAGACTTCAAAAGTAAAGGACTGGAATTACATTGAAATCAGTTGGTAGAAATCTGCTGCTGAAGATTTCTATATAGAGCAGTGATGCAAATCTCCCAGTACAACATCCTGATTTGAAGGAGCCCCTTAGGCTTTAGCACCTGCTCTTGAAATTACCTGAAATTACTTTGATTTAGTTTTATATTATTACAAGTTGCTTATAATAGGACTCTCTTCTGGGTACTCTCAGGATAGCTGCATTCCTTAATCTTCTTGAGTACATTCATGGATTTGGAGAGATAACTCATACTTCATGAGGATCTATAGATCCACTGATACTATTAAAGTTAAAGCCATATCTCCAGTCCTATACTTTCTAAGTCTGTATTCAGGGTATTCCATAATCTAGCTCCAACTTCCTTTTCTGCCCAATTTTCCAATAAAAGACTGGAAAACTAAATTACAGCCTTATTGCGCAAGACCTTGAAGATCAACTTGAGGAGTATGGACTTAATTTAAGAAAGAAGTAATTTTCAGAGTGTCTGCTGAGTGCTTACTACAAGCCAGGCATTGTTTTAGGCCCAGAGGGGACATAGTAGGGAGAAGAGACAAACCTATGCACATTCATAAACAAGTTTATATACATACATACATACACACACACACACACACACACACACACACACACATATATATACACATATATATACACTTATATACATATGGTACAAAGTTAAAATAAACAATTAAGGATAATGCAGATTAAGGGACTAGACAGTAGCCAAGGTGGGGAGCACTGTTTTAGAGAGGGTGGTCTGAAACGTTCCTTTAAAGTGAATGTAGGTAGACACATTCTGTAAGAGGTGAGATTGTAGATCATGCAAATAACTTAAGGACAATCATTGTGGCAAAAAACAAAAGCAAGCAAACAAAAAACACATGCCCCTGAGGTGGGGGCAGGCTCAGAATATTCAATAACTGAATCACTGGAAATAAAAATTTTCAAGAACAACAATCAAACCATGACTCAAGTTTTAAGCATGAAGTTACTTCAGGACTTTGCTTTAATAATCACCCCCCATCTTACAATTTCAATATCCTGTACTGATTCGTTTTCTCTAGCACCTTCAATGCCTAATTTTCCTCTTTTTGCCTTGTAAGAAACACTGCTAAATTTTATTGAGTAACAAAAAGGCTGAGAGAGCATAAAAAGGAATGAGTGGTCAACATTCTAAAGTACTATAGAAAACAAGTGAGGTCTAAACTGAAAATGTGTCCACTGGTAAACAGGCACCTAAAATTCCCGTGAAACCTGGAATTTCTATGGTTTTCTTAGATATTTTATTATGGAGTAACTGGTAGAAGATGACGCCATTAATAAGAAAACAAATTGGAAACATAAGTTTGTTTGGGGTAGAGAAGGAAGAGTGGTAGAAGATAATGAGTTCAACTCTAGATGATCAACCACAATGAAGCAGATTTCTCCAAGGCTAGTGACAAAGAGTTAGAAATCATTCTAAGATCAAATGGCAGCAGCCATAAAGATCAAGTTTCAAAAGGCCCTCAAGACATAATTTTTTTTTAAAAGGTTGTTGGTCCAAAGATGTCCAGTGGTTCCTTTCTTGAATAAAATCAGATTAACTGGCTGCCTAGATATATATGTAGAAAGGGCTGCATCTAACTGGAGGTAAGTCTTATAATTAACTGCCAGTTCCTGTCCAGGCACATTAACTACCCACTGCCATGAGTGCACTAGTTAATAACTACCCACTGCCGTGGGTGAACTAATTAAACTCTACTTCTTAAGATGAAGAAACTGAAGTCTGCAAATGTTAAGTGAGTTGCCTGATCCCCATGGTGTCTAAATGTCCAAAGACTGAATAATTTTGCTTTATTAAGTTTGTAATATTGTTTCAAATATTAAAAAGAAACAAGGGTTAGTCTTGTTAGCAAGTGAATTCAGGATGGAATACCATACCTAAAATTTAGAAATTTTACAGAATGAATATTAAACATTCAGAAGCAAAGTGCTGATTGGTATTATAAGTGAAGGGAACTCCATTCAAAATTAAGAAATACATATAGCAATGATAACCATTCATTTTATAATGTTTTCCATTAAATAATACTTTTACTTACTACCCAAAACAACCTTATAGACTCTGAAATTTCTATCAAATACTAAAGAAGTTTTTTACAGAAATAAAAAAATCCTAAAATTTGTATAAAAACTAAAAAGAGCCTGAATAATCAAAGCAATCCTGAACAAAAAGATCAAAGCTGGAGGAATCACATTACCTGACTTCAAAATATATTACAAAGCTAGAGTTACCAAAACAACATGGTATTTGGTATAAAAACAGGTCTGTGGAACAAAATCGAGAACACAGAAATAAATCTGTGTCACAGCCAACTCATTTTTGGACAAAGGCACTAAGAACATACATTGTGGAAAGGACAATAAATGGTGCTGGGAAAAGTGGATACACACATGCAGAAGAATGAAGCTGGATTCTTGTCTCTCATCATACACACAAATAAACTCAAAATAGATTAAAGACTTAAACATAATACCCGAAACTATAAAACCATTAGAAGAGAACATAAGAGATGAACTTCAGAACCTGGTTTAGGCAGAGATTTTACGGCTAAGATCTCAAAAAGCATAAATGACAAAAGCAAATATAGACAAATAGGACTATATTAAACTAAAGGCCTTCTGCATGGCAAGGAAAACAATCAACAGAGTGAAGAGACAACCTGTTGAATGGGATAAAATATTTGCAAACTACTCATCCAACAAGGGAGTAATATCCAGAATATACAAGTAACTCAAACAACTCAACAGTAAACAAACAAACAAATAAACAATCCCATTAAAAACTGGGCAAAAGACATGGATAGACATTTTTCAATAGAAGACACATGCAAGGTCAAGAAGTATATTAAATAATGGTTAACATCAATAATCATCAGAGAAATGTGAAACAAAACCACAATGAGACATCATCTTATTCCACTAAGAATGCCTATTATTAAAAAGACAAATGTAACAACAAATGCTGGGCACTGGTAAAGGAAGGAGGAAGAGAGGAGGAGTGAGGGTTACACAACCACCCACTGGGTACCATGTCTACTACCACGGGGAGAAAGGGCTCGCTAAGAATTAGCCCAAGCCTTACCTGCAAGCAACTTACTTATGTAGCAAATGAGGATGTGCTACATAAGTAATCTCATAACTCTAAAATAAATAAATAAAATTTAAAAAATAGACACTGGCAAGAATGCAGAAAAAAAGAATTTTTTTTTTTTTTTTTTTTTGAGTTGGAGTCTCACTCCATCACCCGGCTGGAGCATAGTGGCATGCTCAAGGCTACCCCCTGCGTTGACCTGCTGGGCTCCGGCGATCCTTCAGCCTCAGCCTTCCAAGTAGCCAGAACTATATGCGTATGCTACCATGCCTGGCTATTTTTTGATTTTATTGTAGAGATGAGGTCTTGCCAAGTTGCCAAGGCTGTTATCGAACCCTTGGGCTCAGGCAATCCTCTCAACTAGGCCTCCCAAAGTGCTGGGATTACAGGCTTGAGCCACTGCACCCAGTCCTAAAAAAGAACTCTTACACACTGTTGGTGGGAAGGTACATTAGTATAGCCACTATAGAAAACAGTATGGTGAACTGTCATAAAACTAAAACCAGAAAAATCATAGAATCTAGCAATCCCACTACTGGGTATTTATCCAAAGGAAAAGAAATCAGTATATCAAAGAGATACCTATACTGTCATGCTTATTGCAGCAAAGATAGGAATAACCTAAGTGTCCATCAGCAGATGAACGGATAAAGAGAATGTGGGGAGGGGGTTGTACACACATAATGGTATGCTGTTCAGTCAAAAAAAGAATAA